GCGGAGGAGCAGCCCTCCTGCAGCTGTGCTCCCGGGTGCAGCCGGTTGGCCTCCCCCAGCCACTGGGGCTGCGGAGCCCTGCGTTGCAGAAAGTCCAGACGAGGTGCGCAGTGAGCAGAGGCTCCATGCTGGATTTCAAAGGTTAAGCAATTTAAAAAGAATGTAAAGTATCCCACTAAAGTTTCATGTTGATTATGGGGCAAGATAATATAGTGGATCTGTTGTATTTAATAAAAGAGACGATTAAATTTAATCTCATCCATTTCCCTTTTGCCCTCTTCAGAAATGTGGCGCATTGAAAATGTAACATTTGGAGGTGGTTCGCCGGGTCACACCCTCTGCAGGGGTGAGGGCGAGAACCGCAAGTGCCTCTCCTCCTGGCACTCGCTGAGCTGCTATGTCTGTAGAGGGGACGGTGACCGGTCCAGGCTCTGGGGACCTCAGGGTCTTCGGCAGACTGCTGTGCTCTTGGAGCAGCCAGGCCGGGAGCACCGTGGGCTGGCAGTGGTCCCCGGCAGCGTTAGCTACAAGAATGGGCCACGGGCCACACGGCCTGGGAGCTGCATTTGGTGGTTCGTGGTCTATGAAAGAGGGCCAGTTACCTAAGGGAATCCTCCTGGGACTGGAAAGGCACATTTTACATCCATGACACGTGGACGCCGACCGAGCTTCCCTGTGAGTCTGGAGCTCTTCCCATGTGCGAGTGTCTCTGAATGTGAGTTGATTCTTTGGTGGCAAATCACAGATCATGCAGCAGATGAAGAAACGGGATCTAAAATACTACCATTGGCATTTGACAGCAAACCCCCAACTCCTGCCTCCCCTTTGGTCTCTGTCCCTGGGGGTGCTGGAGTTTACACTCTGGCCATTGAGGAAGAGACCGCGGGCAGGGCTGGCATCGGTCTGGGCTGGACAGGGTTTCCTGAAGCTCAGTGGGTTTAAATGTTGCCCTAGTCGCCAAAGACACCCTGTCCGAGACTCTGCCTTGTTGAAGGGACACAAAGGGTCCACAGCCTCCCCACAGCAGCCCTGCCTTTCAGCCTCATCTCCTGCTAGAGTGGTCTCCTCTCTGCCCAGCAGCACCTACTCCCCATGGTGCCTGCCTCACAGCCCTGTGCCTGCAGTGAGGGGCCAGTGCACGCCCCACCTCCAGCAGCCCCAGACCCAGCCTCTCAGGGCTGGACAGCAGCCCTGAGTCTGTGCAGTTCCTCAAGGGTAGTGATGCTGAGCAGCCTCTTCAGTGGAAGGTGTGTCGTGTCTTTCGTTCATTTTCTAATCAGATCATTTTGCTTGTGTGCTGTAGAGTTCTGAGAGCTCTTTATGAATTGTAGATAATAGTCCTCATCAGGTGCATGGTTTTTCCGTATTTTCCCAGTCAGTAGCTTGTCTTTATTGCCTCTCGACAAGGTCTTCATTGTGCTAAAATTTGTTTTAAGATTTTTGTTTTGATGTTGATTTTTATCCATTTTCTTTTTGTTTATGGTGTTTCATTGAACTATAGGCTCCAAAGACTAAATCTTATAATTTCTTCCAAGTGTTTCATTTAAGTGTTTTACATTTTGAATTTAAGGGGCCAGGGATTTAGCTCAGCAGTTTGGTAGCCGGCCTTGCAAGCGCAAGGACCTGAGTTCAATCCCCGGTACCAAAAAAAAACCAGCTTCATTTTGAATTTAAATCTATGATCCATTACAAGCTAAATTTTGTGTGAAGGGTAAAATGCAGGTGGAGATTCATTTTCTGGCCTTTGGATATCTAATTGCTTGAGAAGCGTTTCTTTAAAATGTGCCCTCATTTGCACCTCTGTCAAAGATCAGCTGGGCAGACCTCTGTGGGTCTGTTTCTGGATTCTTTGTTCTGCCCCCCCACCTTCTGTGCCATGGTGCCTTGGTTATGGGTTCTGTGTAGGCTTTCATGTTGGGTAGAATAGGCCTCCCATTTAATTAATTCTTTGTCAAGATTATTTTTGCCATTCTAGATCTTATGCCCTTCCATATTAATTTTAGAAAGCTTGCCTATGTTTCTGGATTCTTTGTTCTGCCCCCCCACCTTCTGTGCCATGGTGCCTTGGTTATGGGTTCTGTGTAGGCTTTCATGTTGGGTAGAATAGGCCTCCCATTTAATTAATTCTTTGTCAAGATTATTTTTGCCATTCTAGATCTTATGCCCTTCCATATTAATTTTAGAATAAGCTTGCCTATGTAAAAAAAAAAAAATCTAGCTCTGATTTTGGTAAGAATTCCATTAAATTTTAATTAATTTGAAGCAAACTCGTATTTTACTGTGTGGAGTGTTCCATTTGGGCGTATTTTGTCCTTGCATGTATCTGGGTCTTCTCCAGTTACCATTTGTAATTTACAGTGTGCAGAACCTGTGCAGGACTTAAGTTGATGGTTAAGTATTTTATTTTATTTGGAGTGGTTATAACTGGTACTTTCATGTATCCAATGGTAGTCTGTTGAAAAAGACTGAATGTTGATCTTATATTGTGGTCCTTATTGAAATCACTACTTACTGAATAGCTTTGGGAGGTTTTTATTTTCTTTTACTTTTTAATAGTTTTCTTGGAATTTTCTATCTAAACTATCATGTTATCTGTAAATAGTTTTATTTCTTCTGTTTTAATTTGTATGTCTTTGGTCTTTTTACAGTGGTGAGGGCTTTAGTAAGATTTAAAGTAAGATTAGTAAGTTTAGTAAGATTGATGAGAGTCACTGGCGAGAAGCATTTAGTCACCCACTCTAAGAATAATATTAGCCACAGTGCATGTGTGTGTGTGTGTGTGTGTGTGTGTGTGTGTGTGTATTTATTCATCCATTTTCTAGGTTATTTTATTTTTTGAATTGAGACAATACTGGGTTCATAAAATGAGTTGAAAAGTGAAGCTCCCTCTCCTTCTGCTTTCTGGAAGTGTTTTTCTAGCATTAGTGTCAGTTCCTCTTGCTTGACTGAATTCATTAGTGAAACAATAGGGTCGGTCTTAGGGCTGGAATGTAGCTCAGTGGTGCGCTGCCTGCCTTGCAAGCACAACAATCTGGTCTTAGAGTAATTTAAAGATCTTACTAATTTAATTCTTAATAAATATAGGATGATATAAAGCATTTAAACTTGTCATTAAATTAATACATGTAGAGTTGTTAATTGTATTCCTCATTTATCCTTTTGATTTTTTTTTCCAGGGTGTGTAGTGATAACTTGGTTTTATTGATACTGATCATTTAAATCTATTTTTTTGCTTTGTCAGTCTTTCTAGAAGTTGATAGGTTTTAATGATGTTTTTAAAAGAGTCATTTGTTTGTCTCATTGATTTTGTCTACTGTTTCTGTATTTTTAATTTCATGGACTTTTGCCCTTATTTTTATTATTTCCTTCTTTCTGCTTGGTTTAGGTTTTTCTGTTCTTTTTCTATTTCCTTAAAGTGGTACCATAAACTATTGATTTGATTTGAAATCTTTTTTTCAAATACAAAAATTCAGTGTTATAAATTTCCCTTTCATGTGACATGTATTTTCATTTTCATTCAGTTCTATATATTTTTTTAAAACTTCCTTTGATAGAATCCTTAGACCTACAAATATTTAGAAGTATGCTATTTAACTTCAAATTGCCTAGATTCTTGTTAACCTTTCTGTTACTGGCTTCTAGTTTAATTACATACAGTAAAAAAATTGTATATGATTTTGATTCATTTAAATCTCTTGTGATTTATGGCAAGGATATGGATCTGTCTTGATAAATGTCTCTTGGATGCTAAAGCAAATGTACATTTTGCTGTTATTGGGTAGGGTATTCAATATCAGTGAAGTCCAAATGTTAGAAGATGCTGTTTCAGTTCTCTATTCTTGCAGGTTTTTTTCTAGTTGTTCTATTTGTAGTTGTTCCTTTGTAGTTGAAGACTATTTCAACTATTTTTTTATTTCAGTATTTTTTTTAAAGGGTAAACTGGCTGCCTTTTAATTTTTCTTTATGGGAGATTAACTGGATTTCTTCTTCATTCCTGAAGGTTATTTTTGATGGATGTAAAAATCTGGGCTGATAACTCTTATCTTTCAGCAACTGAGAAATGTGCTAGTTCCTGCTGGCCTCTATGGTTTCTGAGGGGAAAGTTGTTTTATCTAGAGGTAAATTGTCAGTTTTTTTCATTCCTTTCAAGGTTTTCATTTTAATTTTGGTTTTTAGAAATTTGATTATATTTTGCCTTGTCACAGATTTCTGGGGTTTATTCAGCTTCTTATTAAGTCTTCAGGCGTATGTCTTTTAACCACACTCCTCCATTTTTGTTTGAACACTTTTCCATCTCTCCCCTCTTTCTCCTCCCATTGGGCTGTAGAGACACACTTGGATCTTTTGTCCATGGCCCAGGTCCCTGAGGGATTGTTCTTCCCACCAGAAATCTATTCTTTCTTTGTTGTTCAGATGGGTAATTCTGTTGTCCCTTGAAGACCTCAGTTTCTCCCCTTATGCTCTCCATTTCAGGTTGGGGCAGCTGGAAACTCTGGCTCTACACTCGGCCTTAGCTTGGCTGGGAGTGTAATGCAGTTGATTTTTTCCCCCTGTGATATTTGTCTCGAGTTGAGAAGTTTTAATCTAAAATATCTCTGCCTGGTGGTGCTGCTCCTTTCTCGGCTTTGCCTGGAGAGAGCAGGCTTTTATTAGAACCTGTTCTTTTTGGGGTTTGTTATCCATGAAGCCTGCCATGTGTAAGCTTGCCAGTGGGATATATGATGGGAACAGGAACTTTGGTGAGGCTACCAGTGCTGGAAACATCCATTACATATTTGAAAAGAAATTGAGTCTCAAATAAATTGCACACAATGGGAGATATCTAATAGAAGGGCCCATCTTCACAATCTAAGCTATCACTAAATTTTTATTTCTAAAAATAAAAACAAGTGGAGTTTATGACCATATAAATATCTTGGCAATAATGTAAAATAATAAAGACTGCATCCCATAGTTCTTACCAGGCCCCAGACCTCATAACCCATCTCTTTATCTTTCAGGTTGGGGTTCCCAATGATGATTGTGTCCTGCACTGTCGGGATGTGTTATCTTCTTGTTGTTCATGTTGTGATGGGATGGAATTAGTAGACAGTCACCATTTGAAGACTAAGGGAAACTTAATTCATCATCAACGTCAGTCAGAAAGCTACCCCAGACCATTCTGAAGAAGTAAGGTGCTTGCCCCGGGACGCTATGGGTGGAGGTGATCTGGTGCTCGAAAATCATGGTGTCCTCTTTGTATTCTTTTTCAATAGAGGACAAAAAATGGAAATACAAGATAATTATCCAAGATTCCTTTATTGGAAACCACATATATTTTAAAAACATTTTTTTTTTGCTATTCAATGTAGGAAAGACAAAAATTCACCCAAGATAGCTTGTTCTTTGTCATTTCTCCTGAGACTATAGACAGTTTTTCTTCATGTAATTACTTTTCATGTTAAAATAATCAGCATTTAAATCATATGCCCTTGAATATAGACTTTAAAAGATGTATGCCACTTGTAGGGAAACATTTTTACATTAAAAAATAAAGTGTCACTTGACAAAAAGTTTGGAATTTATTAATTTCTTGACATTTAATTAGTATAATTATGTAAAATTGCATTTTATCCATTTATATTTTTCTCTGGTGTTTTTATGTTATTATTTGAAAGTCTGGAAATTTGACTTGCAGACAATCAGAAGTGTCCTTTAAAAATACTTCACATATTTATCAGCCTAGAGTAATAATTTTCCATTTTGAAGGTGAGGAACCCGCTTCCGTGGTCATACAGAAGTGCAGTTGGTGTATTCAGCTCTGTTCTCCCTGTTGGACTCTGCTGCTTCAGTCCGTGTTTATGAGGTGTGACTCTTTGTAGAACCTTCCATAGGAGGCACAGGTCATGAGAACAGAGAGCTGGGGAGCCTGAGCTTCTGTGGAGGTCTTCTCTACACTGTTCCATCACTGTCATGGCTGTGCCTCAGAGGAAGAACCTTCAGTTTCCAGCTGCCTACGTGCAGTACCTTGAGATGAAAGTGTTTGCTGAGTACTCTGCTCAGAAATGATCGTTGTATAAAACGTGTGACTTTCAAAGGTTTGAGGCTCTTGGGGCACTAATAACTAAAAAGTAAGTGACCTTGCTAGCTCCATTTCTGATACCAGGACCCTCAAGGTGGGTGGGCCCTTTCTATAGATTAAAATATATGTTTGTGAAACGGCGACCTACTTACCTCCAAAATGGTTTGGAGAATTATAAGACTATCCCCTTTGGATTCATGAGTCATCCTGGCAATTCCTTGACAGGAAAAGTGTAATGCAACCTTGTTCTTATTTTAAAATCTGGCTCAGTCAGCATCCCACAGGTTCTTCTGTTTGCGCCTGACTTTGTGCTTGGAGGGACTCTTCCCCCAGTACGAGTCTGTGACGGAAAGGAGCCTCCCAGTTGGTCCAGCTCTTTCTTCCTTGCTTGTCCTCATGGTAGCCTGGGTTCCCTCATGTCCTTTCACTGGAAACATTGTGTCCTTTTCCACCTTCTATATTCCTATGCCTGGAGGTGGCATTGGTGCCTTCCTTGCATCTTGTGCTGCTTCCAGCTTAGATCTATTCTCTGTTTTTTCAACACTTTATTCTCAAATTCAATTTACCGCCTCCTGCCACTCTTCAGCTCCTCAGCGTCCCCTTCTCATTCTTTAAGGCTGAAAGTTTATGACTTATTTCTCTCCCTTCTCTCTCTTATATACCTCCAACCTCCACAACATTCATATCTTTGGTTTCTTTGGCTTCCACCACCTTTCCTGTGATCCACTTCCCTAGTAACTCAAAACTTGGCTCCCATTAACTGTGTCTGGAGATCTTCATCTCAGGTACCTCTCTCTAATACATCTAACACTTCCAGTTATTTACTCTTAGATCTTGAGTGACCTTCCAGACCTCATATGTTCAGCAGTGGGTCTCTTGGAAGGTGATTTGGTTATGGGGGCACCCCTTAGCTGACTTGCTGGTAGGAGGTGGGGCTCTGGTCAGAAGAGGTGGGTCAATTGGAAGGTGGCCCAGAAGATTATACCTCCCTTTCAGCTCTTTCCTTTTCTCCATGGTTTCTGGCCACCATGACATGAACAGCTTTCCTCTGAACCAGACTCTTCCACAGTGCCTTTCCTGCCTTGGAGCCAGAGGATGTAACCATGAACCCAGACAAACCTCTCCTCCTTTAGGTTATGGTTGTCCAGTATTGTGTCTTAGTGATGACTGAAATTGACCAAAATTTTGATAGCAGATAAGTAGGGCTATTGTTCAGACTATACCTGACTGTGTAGTTTAGAATCTCTTGGAACCGGTTTGCAGGAGTAGTTAGGAAAGGTTTGGACATGCTGGCTTGTGAAGCCCTAAAATCCTGTAAGCTGAGTTTGATGGGAGCTTCTGGTCAGCACTCAAAAGACCAGAATACTATTAGAGATGCAGACAGTAAAGGCCAGGCTCAGGAGATTTAGGTTTGGAACAAGGATTCCATTAGCAGCCAGACTCAAGGCCATGTGGCAGAAAATTGGTCTTCATTTTGTTCATGTCCTGAGACTGTGAGGGAAAGTGGGGTCTAAGAACAGTGGATTAATTAATCTGATGAAGAAAATTTCAGGGCATCCCAGTATTGAAGCTATAACATGGGTCCTTTTAGCCATATCTACTGTGAGAAGCAGGACAAAAAGGAGAGCTGAGTAACATAAACATTTTGCTATAGTGGCCAGAAAGGAAGCACTCGCAAAATTTGGGCCTGTATAGTTTTAGCCCAGGATAGAATGGGTCTAGAAAATATTAGCATAAAAAAGAAGCTGAATATTTTTTGTCAGAGCAATAGGAATGATGCATAGAGAGTATATCAAATCCTCATGACCCCATCCATTAAAGACTCAATGGTAAATGCTATAAAGCTTTCCTTTGTGAAGAGAGCCACAGGATTCCCTGCTCAAGAAAGGCTACCTAAGGGGTCCGTTCCCCAGGAATCTGTTCACACTGCTTAACCATCCAGGCACACGACGGTCTCTGCAACTATGATACAAGGGGGCTAGGCTGCTGCTTGAACTGGCAGCAGACCTTGGCATCATCTACATGGTGCTGGTTTTTACAAACATGCAGAATGCAGGAGTTATTGGGTCATGGAGGATTCCATCAAGATTTCAGAAGAAGGTCTGGAAATCTAGGCAGTGTGCTCCTGCAAGGGCAGTGCATGAAGCAGTCAGAGTGAAGCCAAAAGCACAGTGGAGACTCAGGGAGTTGAAGAAGCTAGAAATGAGGAACACCCAAGGAAAGGTCAGCAAGTGAGTGAAGCTACCCCAAGAAATAGGCCATGAGGGCTACAACTAACAAGAAAACAAGGGTATGACCACCAAGCCTCTGGGAGTTCACATAATATTACTGCCACTTGCTCCAGTGCTGGACATGAAACTACAGGGTTTAATGTTTGCCCTGCTGGGTTTCTGCCTCGCTTTGATCTATTCCTTTCTGTCCCCTCATGCCTCCCTTTTGGATGGGAATGTTTACTCTGTGCCATTGTATGTTGGGAATGTTTAACTTTCTTTTGATTCTCACAGGGGATCACACTAAGAGTTTGCCTTAGAGGAGACTTTGGGTGAGAATTTAGTGGATGTGTTCTTGTCTCAGCAAGGAGGTCACTGTGGAGTGAGCAAAATGATTCCATGGGACAGCAGGCCAAAGGAGACCTGGGTATTGATTGGAGGAAAAAGGTAGATAAATGAATGAGGGCTGGAGAGGGAATGGTTACATCCAAGACAGACGAGCTCTGCATCAAAGATGAAGGTTGGGTGAGAAAGGAGAAGGACTCTATTTAGGCTGCTGCAGTAAGGGCATCACCCAAGTGGTGAAGATCCACGTCATAGGAGGACAGTTTCACCTGAGATTTTTATAGGGAAAGGTAAAAAGTTGCAGAGGGATGATTTACAGAGACAGTGTTCTGCCAAGGGAAAGTCTTGCTCATCTGTACAGGAAATGACTTTCCCTGTGGTCAGCTGCTTCCAAGGGTGCAAAGTTCTAATCTTCGTTAATCAATCACCAGGATCAGTGTTCATTTCAGTTAATCAATTGCCAGTGCAGCAAGAGGACTTGGAGGGTTTGTGTGTCTCACCTTGTCAGCTGCAGGTGTGTGAATACAGAGCCCCTGGTCATCCTGTTCTGCTATAGCAACAGTCACACGAAACCCAATCAGCCACTGTGAATAGTTCAATATGAAATTTTAATCTTTACTGGCATCTTAAGTGAACAACAAAACAACAACAGCCAGTTTAGAACCTAGAGCAAAACTTGAGAAAAGTGAATCCCCTTTCCCCATCTCTTTCCCATTACCAGCACTTTTGGGGTCGGCTGTCTTCTTCTCAGGCCCTATGTCCCCCACATTCAGCTTCTGAGCCTCTTCCTTTCCTACCCTCCCCTTATCTCCCTGTGTTTATCTTCTGCACATTTTCTGGTTGCCACAGCTGTATCTTCATGGTTCCGCAAAGGACCCCCAACCTTCTGGTACTACGGGAGAGGGTACCATTAGGAGGTGGGACCTAACCGAAGGAATCTAGTAACTGGCAGTGTGCCTGTGAAGGTGATATGGGACCCCGGGCCCTCATTTCTCTCCTACTCTTGTCTCCTGGCCACCGTGGCATGAGAAATTTCTTCCACCACAGCCTCCCACAGTGATGTGTTGCCTCATTATAAGCCCAAAGGCAATGGGCCAAGTGACCATGGACTCACTGCACTGAGACTATGAGTCAAAGTAATCTTTCCTCTTTTGCTGTCTCAGGTATTTGTCCCAGTGACAGAAAACTGACACCCCAGTCTTCATCTTCAGTGTAGAAGTTCCAGGCCTGCCTTTGCTTACAGTTGGCCTCTCTTTCTGCAGATTCCACAATAACAGATTTCAACCAAGGGTTGGAAATTTTAAGAAAAAAACGTCATATCTATACTGAGCATCTGTGGCTTTCCCCTCGTCATTATTCCATAGATAATAGAGAAGAACTACTTCCACAACTCGTACATGGACTGGGCATTATAAGTAATCTAGAGATCATTTTAAAGTACACGGAGGATGTGCAGGGTTCTATGCAGATGTCGTGCCATGTTGGTTAAGGGCGTGGGCACCATGGGATTGGGCTGTCTGTTGGGGGTCCTGGAAACAACCTCTTAAGACAGTACAACATTGCAAAATTCTGTTGCTTTTTTCACATCTTATTTAAACGGCTTTAAAGTTTAATTAAAAGAGCACCTTTTTCCAATCTGGCTTCACCCAGATCTCAGATTCCTTACAGTGAAAGTGGGAAGAGGCGGAGAACACCCAGATTTTAATCTTATTTTATTTTATTCATTTTTTTGCCTCTGGTCTCCAGCATTTCTTTATCCCCAGGGGACACTGAAAAGGCACAAATGTTCTCTGTGAACAGGCCTTGCCAGCTGCAGGGGCCTGCCCTTTGCTGACCTTCGATTTCATTC